CCACCCTCCTTCCTGATTAAGGGGTGTGAGAAAGGATAGGTGGTGGGGAGAAGGCAGGTACTAGATGAGCTGCAAGACCCAATGGAAACAAGGATGCATCATCAACTTACCTTCCCCTGCGGACACCAGGTCACCAGATGAACAGGAAACACAGAAAGAGAAGAAAAATGCAGAGGTGATTTTCAGTTCAGGCCTCACCTAACGCTAAACCCTTCTGTGCTCCCTAGAGAAAAAGGGCTGGAAGCCAGGGACCCCAGGCTCCGGAAAGGAAGACTAGTCCTCTCGGCACTGCCATCTCTCACCTCTCCTCTCCTAATACCCCCCCATGCCCCAGAGCAGCAATTTTAGGGTTCCTGAGTAAGAATGCTAAATACCATCTTCCACCATTTGTCAGTAGACAAAACTTTACAATTAAAGTGCCTTTAAAAAAATGATTTGAGAGGAAAGGAGAGAAACATCAACCAGCTACCTCCCACATGTACCCTGCCAGGGATCAAACCTGCCACCTTTTGGTATACGGGACAAAGCTCACACCGGCCAGGGCGAAAATGCTTTCCAATGAATGATCCTATTCTCATAAAATCAATCATATGAGATTCAAGTCACCAACACTTTCTATCATCTGGTTCAGAGGAATGGTGTCTTTCAAAGGTCACAGGAATAAACTAGTAACAGGCCCTGGAGCCCAAGAGACTAGACTCAGACCCCATGTTCTCGGTGACGCCCACTGTGCAGGACACATCTCTCACCGGGTGAAACTTTCGTCCTGCAGGTTCAGCACAAGGTTGTCAGCAGTGAGATAGATCCGATTCTGTGATGTGGCGATCTACCGGGCAGGAAACAGGACAGATGCTTGTATTAAGCAAAGGCCTCAATTCCTATCCTTGCCTTCAATAACCACTGATGGGACACATGTGGGTTAGGAACAGGGATGCAACAATGACAAAGACTTGGTTTCTGTTCTCACACACAGACCCAGAGCAGCAAACAACTGTTATTATGCTAGTATCATAATAAGAGGCATGAGCAGAAAGTCAAGGGACCCAGAGGAAATTGTTTTAATCCTCATCCAAGGATACTTCCCCCATTGATTTCCAGAGTGTGGAAAGGGGCAGGGGTAGGGGAGAGAAACATCTGATGTGAGAGATACATGGATTGGTTGCCTCCTGCCTGCACATGCCCCGAATGCAGTCGGAGAACCTGCAAATGAGGTACATGCCCTTGACCGGGAATCGAGGCACATGGCGACCCTTTGGTGCACAGGCTGCCGCTCCAAACACTGAGCAGAACTGGCCAGGGCTGGATAATTTGTTTTTGACGATGGGACAGTTTGAGTAGAAACCTGAACGAGCACATTCTAACTACCACACTTCGGTGTCTCCAGGAAGCCCTGAGGGATACTAGGCTCTTACACTCACCGTCTTAGAGATGTTCTGGGCCGCCCGGATCTTTCGTAGCTTGATGTAGCCTGGGTTCTTGCCCAGTGCTTCTCCAAGGTGAGCAGGGAGGGGTTAAGGGTTCATACAAGGCCAGGTCTCATTCTCCGGCCCCATCCTACTACTCCTGTCACTCCACCCTCCTCTGGGCTGTCAGATCCAAGGTTGCGCTCAGGTGGCTCGTGCCCCACCTTACTTTGGTCCTCACCTGTGGGCCCCCCCCGTGGGCAGCTGCCAGGAACTAGAGGCAGCTGCAGAAATGGAGGCAAGGCCAGCAGTGCTATTGATCTGCTTTACAGTGAGGAGCCAAGCTCAGGTACCCCACTAAGATTTCAGATCCCATTTGAAACCTCCACCCGCCCCAGAGAGCACGGAATCGCATTCGCCTTAGTTTCATCAGCCAGCCCTTGAGGGAGGACAGGGGAGGACGGGAAAGCAATGTGCCCCAGGGGTGAGCTGGGATCTCTCCAGCAGAAGGATATCATCTTAGCGGCCTCAGCTTCACCCTCGGCCTGCACGATCTTCTGCCGCTGTTCCTGCTTTGCCTTTTCCACTAAGAACTGAGCCCGCTGGGCCTCCTGCTGCGCTGTGGTGGGCGTCAAGTGGTCACAGGTGTGAGTGTCAGAAACCCCACGGCTCCCCCCTCCCCCCCTTCTGCATGCTCAGAAACCCTTGACCTACTCCTCTGTTAACTCACCCACTTGCTTGGCTTCTACAGCAGCTGTGTATTCTCGGCTAAAGCTTAGCTCCGTGATGGCTACATCATCCAGGATGAGGCTGAAGTCCTTGGCCCTCTCTGTCAACTCCCTTCGGATCAGCAGGGACACCTGGGGGTCGGGGCGAGGAGGGGAAGGGAAAGGTCTTTCGAGGGGACTGGAGAACTGAAAGGAAGGGGGGGTTGCTGTGACCATCTGCATATCAGATCTTCTGAGAAAGGCAGAAGACTCACCAACTCTTTCTCAGTACCTACTGAGTTCTAGTCTTGGCTCTCCTTGTTTCCCACAGGGGCCATGAGTGCCGCTTTTGGGTAGAAATGGGCCTGGGGACCCAACCTTGTTCTAATAACCCGCCTTTCCTAATATGTCTAGGACGGTGGTGACCCTCACGCATGGTGCTCTGGGTCTAGGAGGAAAATGCTGACACCGTGCAGATGGTGATGGGGGCTGGGTCCAACCTGGGCCCGCTGGGTGATCAGCTGTGAGGCGTTGAACTTGGCCACCACGCTCTTGAGAACCTCGTTGACAATGGACGGCAACACTCGCTCCTCGTAGTCTAGCCCGAGGCGCTGATACATGCTGGGAAGCTCCAGGGCATTGGGTCGAGACAGCACTCGCAGGGAGATGTTCACCATCTGCAGGTCTAAGAGTGAGGTCAGCAGTGCCTGGTCAAGGCCCCTTAGCCGAGCACCCTTCCCCAAACAGTGTCTCCTCCATGTAATACCGTGCAGCCTGCAGCTCCCCTGCAGGGAGGAGAGGAACCAGGCCGACAAGATGTGACTTGGCCCAGGCCAAGTGCATCCTTTGTAATAAGGATGTTACGTCTTCTATCCACCGACCCCTCCACTAATAAAGGTAACCTCTCCTCTCTTTGCCACTGTACTGTTGGCAACCTCTACAATAGGCTCTACAATGATCACCTGTCTTCTCTACTAGACCATCAGGGATTAAGGATGAAGACTGTGTTTTATGAATCCTTTCTTCCCAGGACCTAGGGTTTAGGGAATGAATGCTAAGTGACCAGTACTAAAAAAGTACAAATAAGTTTATTACATGTGAGCTACTTGCCTCAGTGTGAATATGCCTTTGTGTGTTTGTATGTGTGTGTGTATGTATGTATGTGTGTGTGACGAGGGGCTTGGGGCAGTGGTCAGCAAGCTCATTACTCAACAGAGCCAAATATCAACAGTACAACCATTGAAATTTCTTTTGAGAGCCAAATTTTTAAAACTTAAACTTTTTCTAACACCACTTCTTCAAAATACACTCGCCCAGGCCTTGGTATTTTGTGGAAGAGTCACACTCAAGGGGCCAAAGAGCCGCCTGTGGCTCGAGAGCCACAGTTTGCCAACCATAGGTCTGGGAAACCCCAAAGGCACAGCTTCTAGGTATGTCTAGGAGGAACCAGTGAAGAGTGGGACCAAGTTTCCCCAGGCCAGGGCATACCAGTGGATACCATTAAGTTAAGCAGCTAAAAGAACAACAAAAAAGTTTTAAAACAAGGCTTTCGTCTAGGAGTGAAGGAGGACAGACAGTGCTCTCACTGAATTTAGGTTAGGGGGTAGGAACAGTGAATTAAAAAGTGCAAACACACAGCGTGCCCAGAATGTACTGCTTTAACCCCAGAAGCAGGCACTTTCATTCCAGCTGTGGCAAACCGAGGCCCAGGAGCTGTGACAACACCATCTTCCCTTCGGGGCTCCTGCCAGGCTTCCCAGTGTCCAAACCTACCTTTGGAGCCTGTGGGGGAGGAGATTTTCCGTGGCCTGGCCCGAATGTCATAGATGATGGGATATTGGAACCAGGGGATCCTGGAGGAGAGGGAACAGAGAGCGTTATCAGGAGACTGCAGTGCCACTAGTTTTGCCTAGTTCTCCCTCACCACGTGTCTCTTGGCCTGCTCCTCCACTTAATGACCACAGGCTGGGAGGACTTCTCCTCCTTCGGAGAACAAACTTATGTGCTGCTGCAGTTACGGGAAGCACCCACTTTCTGGGGAATGGAGTCAGGAGGGGAAAAGAGTACAGCTGAATCCTGTTGCCAGTCTTCACTCCAGCCACTGGTGGGTTGGCGCTCAAGGGTGAAGGGTCAGGGTCAATCCGCTCTGCTCGCCATTACCTGAAGTGGAGGCCCTCGGCGAGAATGGTGTCCTGTTGCACGCCACCGATCCGATTAAAGAAGATGGCTCTCTGCCCGCCTTCCACTGTGGGGAGAGGGGTGGGGATCAGGCCGGGTACGTGCTGGCCCCCGGTGGGGCGAGGGGCTGAGGCAGGGAGGGTCTGGGAGGGGAGGAGTCCGGGGGGCGGGCGGAGGCGGCTCACCAGTGAACACGGACTCGCGGACCCCGTAAGCCACGGCGCCGGCCCCGAGCAACAGCTTCAACGCCGTGCCCATGCCACGGGGCCCCGAGGGCAGCCGCCCCGCCAAGTCCTTCAAGTTCTGGGCCATGTCCGATCTCGAGACCGGCGGCCCCGAAGGTCAGGAGTGGGTGCCGGCCCGCCTCCACCCCACTCCAGCTTAGAAACCGCACCCTTCACACGAGGGTCCGTGGCCCAGGTGCTTGCAGGAGAAAGGGCACCGGAAGTGCGCTTTCTTCTAAACCCTCCCCCCGCCCCCCTCACCCACGGTGGGGGACGGGACCCGAATCCGGCGCACAGGAAGTGCGCATCAGGAAGTCCCGCCCTCTCCCGGAAACCCCGCCCTCCCGGGGAGACTCCGGTAGTGCCAGGCCGCAGGCCATCGCCATTTCCAAGCGCCTGCTTTTAAAATGGCAGCCGGAAGGAAGTTTGCGATTCGGAAGAGCGCGGGGCACTGAAGATAGTAACACAACTTCCGGCCGGGTTGCAAGATGGCTGCACCCAGCGGCGGGTTCCAGCCTCGTGAGCGCCGCGATGGGGACCAGGACCAGGACTGGGAGGTTGTGGCGCCCAAGCGGCCCCGGCTTGGGGCGGGAAGCAGGATGGGAGGCCGCAGGCTGATCGTGGTGCTGGAAGGGGCCAGTCTGGAGACAGTCAAGGTAATGTGGGCCAAGAACGTGGGGAACTAGCATAGCGATAGGATGGGACCCTAGGGGATGAGGGCGAGGGGCTTCACGTAGATAGAGAAAGCGGAGAAAGGTGAAATAGGCTTTTGGAGGAAGAGTGGCCTAGCTGACTATCTTTTGGTTTAACGCCCCGGGTTTGGCTGTACTCGGTTTTCTTCCCTTATGGAACCCCAATCCAGCCGTCACATCTTTGCTTCCAGTTGATTTACCGGGATTCATTCTGCGGTATAAACTCACCTAAAAGGAAGGGGAGTTTCCAAAGGTGGTGCTGTAAGCTTAGCCGGCCCATACTTTTAATTCGTAGGGACTTCGTGTTTTATAAAAGGTGTTGACTGTCACGCTCCTTTGTGTTACTACCCACTTCGATCCACTTTTTACCTATCCTTCGGCTCTTTTTTTCGGAATAACGCAGCAATTCTATGCCTTACAATTGCTCGTGTTCTTATTCCCTCTGACTTGCTGTTTCTCTCACCGTTTAGAGCTAAATTTGTCCAATGAGTAGGCCCAGAAGAAGTAGCACTGGTTTGGAAGTCAGACTTGGACTTTAATCTTGATTCTTATACTTTGTAAGTGTGTGATGTTGAGGAAGATTTGTCCTCGGTTAATACTTTACAGGGAGAATACAATGAGAGTGCTTTAAAAGTAGTAGGCTTCCATAGTAATCTTTAAAATATATATATATTTTATTGATTTTTTTACAGAGAGGAAGAGAGAGGGATAGAGAGTTAGAAACATCGATGAGAGAATCATCGATCAGCTGCCTCTTGCACATCCCCTACTGGGGATGTGCCTGCAACCAAGGTACAGGCCCTTGACCGGAATTGAACCCGGGACCCCTCAGCCCTCCGGTCGGCGCTCGATCCACTGAGCCCAACCGATTTTGGCTATAGTAATCTATGGTGTGATTCTTTTTCATGTTCCTCAACCACTATGGCACTTTATTAGGTTTGCAATCTACCCTACTCCCCCAACTTATTAAAATGGGAATTTCTTCTTCTGTAACTACTATTTCTAACCTAAATAGGTTCTTATATTTATTCCTCACTTAATTGCCTACTATCTTTCCAGACTATTAATTCTGAATGTCACTTAACCACTCCATTTCCTCCTGTGTCCCTTGGGGATGATAGTAGTTCCTACCTTGCTGGGTTATTGGGAAGATTAAAGGAGTTAATATGTACTGGTATTAGGGGTTTATAATAATGTCTTTCACTTAGAATTAGTTATTATTGTTACTGATTCCAAGTTGCCGATTAAGTAGTTGTAAAGGTCATGGCCAAATTAAAATTCCTGTAGTATGCTCTGGAAGAATTTAGGTTGTCATTAATGGTACTCCAAGGGTGACAGAATTCATAGTTGGTTGAAATTTTCGGTGCTGTTACCTTGTGCCTTCCTTATTCTGGTAACTCTTGCTTCTGTCAGCCTCTTCTGGGCCTGCTCTCTGCATTTATTTTTTATACATCAGTCTCACCGGCCTACTTTAAGCTCTCTGAAGGCATGAAGTTCTCTCGTACCTTAAAGATGTTGTGTTTAAGGTTCTCTAAATGGAAGCTCCTTTTACTCAGCTCTTTGCTTCATTAATTCATTCCTAATGTTCATTCACTTAACAATTATTGATCCTACTATACTGTTCATTTAAAAAAATATATATATATCTTATTGATTTTTTTACAGAGAGGAAGGGAGAAGAATGAGGAGTTAGAGACATCAATCAGCATCTGCCTCCTGCACACCTCCCACTGGAGATGTGCCAGCCACCAAGGTACATGCCCTTGACTGGAATCGAACCCGGGACCCTTTAGTCCACAGGCCAACGCTCTATCCACTGAGCAAGACCGGTTTCGGCTATGCTGTTCATTCTTAAATTAATATGTTAAATGTTACTTCCTCATAGAAACGACTCCCTGGTGTAAGTCAGGTTCTTCTGTTATAACTATAGGCCCGATGCACGAAGTTCGTGCGAGGGGCTTGGCCCTTGCAGCCCCGACTTTGTCTGGAATGTTGTCTGGACAGTCCTTCTGCTGCTCGGTCTAATTAGCATAGTAGCTCTTGATTATATTAGATCCTTTAATAAACCATTTGCTTTTCCTTCATAATGTTTATCCCAATTTGAGTTAAATATTAATGTAGTCATTAACTATTTGTCTCTTCTACTAGAAGGCTCTCTCTGAGAGCAGAGAAGGTTTTAAAGATTCTTATATCACCCTAACTGGTTTGGCTCAGTGGATACAGTGTTGGCCTGTTGACTGAAGAGTCCCAGGTTCGATTCTAGTCAAGGGCATGTACCTTGGTTGCAGGCACATTCCCAGTAGAAGGTGTGCAGGAGGCAACTGATCAATGTTTCTCCCCCATCTATGTGTTTAATTCTATTCCTTTCCTCTCCTCTGTGTAAAAGATCAATAAAATGTATGAAAAAAAATCCTTATATCTCCAATATCTATTATTGAAAGTGAATACACATGGTATTTATTCTGATTATTCTAATTATTGTTTTTCAAGCTTAACCACATTCCACAAATTAAAAATCAAGTTTCATAAACCATCACCAGTATTACATTTGAAGTACTCTGATATTTTCTATCCTATTTCGTTAAGAACCCTCCTTATAACTTACTAATGGGTTAAAACTAGATTCTTTTATTCAAGAGGTTTTCTTCTATAACTAAGAATCCCAGGGTCTTAGTTTCTGGCCTTTGTTCTTTCTCTGTGCTTACTTTGTGACATTATTTCAGTTATTTAATTTCAAAGTTCATGTGCCTCTTCCCCCACTTTTTGGGATTGTATATCTTTTTTTTTTTTCCTAAATATATTTTATTGATTTTTTACAGAGAGGAAGAGAGAGGGATAGAGAGTTAGAAACATCCATGAGAGAGAATCATCGATCAGCTGCCTCTTGCACACCCCCTACTGGGGAATGTGCCCGCAACCAAGGTACATGCCCTTGACTGGAATCGAACCCGGGACCTTTCAGTCCGCAGGCCGATGCTCTATTCACTGAGCCAAACTGGTGCCGGCGGGATTGTATATCTTAAGATGTTATCAGACATACAAATGTTCTATTAAAACATAAAAGCTTAGTTTTTCAGAACCTCTATTTGTACTTAATGGTATGTTTTTTATCTTAATGCTCTTTAGGACTCCAATTGCAATTTACAATTTCTTCTTGCTGCTACAGATGGATCCAGACAGATCTTTATTATCAAACTCCTACTTGGTATATTTTCTAGTATACAATATTCCTCAGTCATTCTCACTCCTATTATTCCAGGATTATTTCTTCCTGATGGATACTGGAGGATTCTGCAGTTTACAAAGCAGTTTCATATGTAATCACTGCTCTTCAGTGTTTCAGTTCCCACTTGTTCAGCATAATTTTTGTTACATTTTCCTTTGCTCACCCATCTAAAAAACCTCTTATTTTGTTTTATTTTTGACAGAAGTATTTCTTGATCAAACGACCTCATTAGAATTTTTACACTTCTAGTTCAGATGTGCAGCTCTTCTTAGTGTATGGTTGCTATAAGCAAACAGGGTAATGACCATATATATTTTGCCCAGTTTATCACAATTGGTACTATTGTGATAAGCTTTCAACCTTTTTCATTAACCTTACTCCACCTGGTTCCAGAATCCCTCACCAGCTTTGCCTAATATCCACAGGTTTTTAAATTAAATCCAGCTTAAATAATCTGAAATCACAAGTTGTGCCTTCTTCCCTTTTCCCTTTACAGAGAGGAGTGAAGGAAAGGAGGGGAGGATAAATGTGGCCACACAGTGAACCCCTGAAGACCTGCTGGGCCCCACCCCCATCGATTCTGGTTTAGGAAATCTAGGATGAATGTGAGACTTTGACTAGAGTAATACGTTTTTCAGATGCTGCTGCTGCTGCTGGTTTGGGGAGCATACTTTGAATCACTGGGCTAAGTAAAAACAGCTTACGTCCTGTCATGTTCCCTCTTCAGGCAGGGAAGACCTATGAACTGCTAAACTGTGACAAGCACAAGTCTATGCTGTTGAAGAATGGACGGGACCCGGGGGAAGTGAGACCAGACATAGCTCACCAGGTAACTCCAGGGACAGAGCTCACCCTTGAGTCTTTATGTGGAAGGTGAGACAACTGTGCTACTTCTCTGCAGTCTTGACTGTGCCTCGGTGTTTGCCTCCCTCAGAGTTTACTGATGCTGATGGACAGTCCCTTGAACCGAGCTGGCTTGCTGCAGGTTTATATCCATACACAGAAGAATGTGCTGATTGAAGTGAACCCCCAGACTCGAATTCCCAGAACCTTTGACCGCTTTTGTGGCCTCATGGGTGAGATCTTTAGGACTTAAATTTTAGGAGGGAAGAAGGGAAGAGGGAACATGCTTGATCCCAGAACAAGGACTTATTACTTCCCATGTGTAGGGGTAAAGCCTACATGGGTTCCTGGCTGAGTAAAGAAGGGAGAGCGAACCTATCAGTATACAACTAGCCATGTGCTTGACAACTACTTGCTCATAACATGTTAGGGGAACAATATAGTTATAAGACCCATCTTACCATGTGTTTTCCTGGTTAGAATAAGGGCAGAAATGTGGTTTCCACCGAGTTCTGAACACTTTTCTTTTCGCCCTAGTTCAGCTTTTACACAAACTCAGTGTTCGAGCAGCTGATGGCCCCCAGAAGCTCTTGAAGGTGAGGTATTGATACCTACTGGTTGGAAGTAGGGTCCTGAGAACCTTTCTGGGGCTCATTTTTCTCTCTTACTTTAGGTAATTAAAAATCCAGTGTCAGATCACTTCCCAGTTGGATGTATGAAAATTGGCACTTCTTTTTCCATCCCAGTCGTCAGTGATGTGCGAGAGTTGGTCCCTAGCAGCGACCCTATTGTTTTTGTGGTGGGGGCCTTTGCCCATGGCAAGGTAAGGTCTAGGTTCAATTCTTAAGACTCTTCACAGCTTAGCACAGAATTCCAAGAGCAGTTAGCATTTTGATGATCCTTGTCCTCATCAGTTGGGAAATAGAGGGTAATCACAGAGCTGAAAGAGAAGTGTGGGTTCCCTAACCTGCCCCAGGACATACCTTTTGAGGACTGTTGGCATATTTGTAATAGTCAAAACTAGGCCTGTCTTCATCCTTCGTACAAACTTGATGTTAACACAGTGAAATAAGAGCTCAGCCCAATTTTCCTGCCCTAAAGAAGGACTGAACCTATTACAGTGTTAGTTGGTTGACAGAACTGTTCTCTCCTCAGCTCAATGTGGAGTATACAGAGAAGATGGTGTCCATCAGCAACTACCCCCTTTCTGCTGCTCTAACCTGCGCAAAACTTACCACAGCCTTTGAGGAAGTATGGAGGGTCATTTGACAGTAGGACGTTGCTCTGAAACAGAGACTGTTGACATTGCATCCTTGACTCTTCTAACTCCCTGTTGGATGATGACCTTCCTGAACCAAGATTGGGGTTAGTGGAAGCCAAGGCTGAATGTACATTTGCTATTTGTTTATCTTATAAACACTGTTCTTGCAAACCTGGTTGTATTTGGGGATTCCTAAACTTAGTCTCTAAAGGTGTAAACTGTTCGCTCTCCTCAGACTTCAGGGAAAGGTGCGAGGTTACAGTGTTTGCAGCTTGGTTCCGGGCTTTGCAGGTTGGCTTTAGCTCCAACTTCTGTGATTACTATGCTCTCAAGGAGATAGCCCTGATTATTGCAGCAATGGCAAGCACGGAGAACTGTCTGAAAGAAAGCAGCCAGGAATGCTAGCAGTGAAAAATTGAACAAACAGAAGTGATTTTTATCTGGTACAGTTCCAAGGTAGAAAAAGTGGAGCAGGCAGGGCCTTATGCCCCTCCTCACCCCCCCATGGGGGGAGTGGTGGCGGCGGCACATATACAATCATAGTAAATTGGCAGAAGAAAAACAGAACAGATTCCTGGTTAGAGGGGGGAGATAAGGCAACGTGCATGGGGGAGTCCGGAGGGGAGACATGGGCCCCTCTACTCCTCCCACGAGAGTTTCCCCTTTGGCCCAAATGAAGACTTGGCTGTCCGCAGAGGCACAGCTGGGAGTGCCATGTCTTTCTACTCCCTGGCTTCTGTGTTCTCTGCTCTGGAGCGGAGTGTAGAAAGGGAGACAAGTTATTTCTGCACCAGTCTTGCTCTAGGCCACCTGCAGAAGAGATTTGATGGGAAGGCTGGTCAGTTATTTCTTCTAGATCCTGGTCTACAGCCCTTCTAGCTTCTTCCTGGCACATTAGTGCCCAATACTGTGTTTCCTAGAAGCCAGACTATCTTGAGCTTCACACCAAATTTCCAACACTGTCCACTCCCCATGCCCCCAGTTCTGTCCTGTAACCTGGTTATTAACTTACCAGGGAAATAGATTATTCCATTCTCTTTAACTTTTCTTTCCTTGGCACTATTGCTTTGTGAAGATAAGGCAGTATGAATAATAGGCTCAGGAAGAAGACGTGGCCAAGGAAATAGACAGATTTATACACCTGTGGAGAGAGATACAGGTCACTGAGTTAGCCTGAGGGCATCCTATATAATAAAGAGCTAATATGCAAATGGTCATCATACACTCACGCTGGGGCCGCACTGCCCTGGCACTAGGGGATCTGAGGCTGTGAGGGTTAGAGGGCCCTCCCATGCCTCTGTGGGGCTTGACGGGGGTGGGGCCGGCTGGGTCTGGGTCACATGTGGGTGGGCAGGGACTTAACTCTGGGTCCCGTGGCATACCACAGACTGATAGGAGGGAGATTTTCATATACATTTTACTAATTTCCTTTCATTTCTGACGCTTCTATTATAGAGAAGGATAAATGACAATATTAAAGTATTTCGTCTAATTCATTCCCTTTTAATGTGTACGAATTTTGTGCACTGGGCCACTAGTGGTATATAATATCACTTACTATCGGAGGTTTCAGTGGTTCCCTCTCATCCTTGCAAGCATGATGGGAAGGAACTTACCTTAAACCATTTGTCCCACGTGAAGAGGCAGAAGGCAGTCATTGAGTAACCCATGAAGAGCCAGTGGATGGTCTGCTGCACCAAATAGAAGATGGGTTGTAGGACAGTAATGGAAGCCAGTTTGCTCAGGGTTGGGCTGTCTCGTATTAGGCTGGCAGCCTGAGGAGGAAAGAAAGAGGTAATCAGGACCTTGCTTCTTCTCCTAGTCCCCTTTCTTCACCCAGCATCCTTAAGGCCTACCTGCCTTTCCACGATAACAATGAGGAACTCCATCTGGAAGCAGATCAGGTATCCTGAGTGCAGGCCATGCCAGAGGGCCAAGAATAGCAATGAGAGACCCTGGGAGAGTTCTTTATTTCCAAGGAACTTGAGTCGTTTGAAGAAATAACTAGAGAAAAGGATGGGTAAGGATGAGCTGCAGACTAGTTCTTGCACTCCCACGATCCACCTCCGGGTTCTCAGCTTCCTGAGGGGTCAGTGGTGGTGGCAGGCTCCTACTTGGGCCCACCTGGGGCAAGGGAAGCAGTGCTGCCTGATTAGCTTTCAAGACGTGAAGTCCACTCAGTTTAGAGACAGAAAATAGAACTTTGGCAAACTACTTAAATGACTAGTGCCTGATGGAGACTTGTAGTGAACAGGGCAGACCAGTTTTCTTCTCGTGCTGCTTACCCTCTAGTGATGGGGTGAATAGACAAAGACTATAAACAGAACTGTGGAGAACATAAAACCAGTGGCTGAACTGGGGTTAAACCCAGGACTCAAGGCACTTAAGACATTTTTGCTTGCATTTTTCAAATAATGACAAATGTTGGAGGGTAGGAGTGGAGACACAAGTGTGTAAGGGTATGTGTGAGAATGATTGGAAGTTCTACCCAAAGTGGGTAAAGACAGAAGTGACAAGTCCATTTCTGCCCTCTAATCTGGGAAAGCGGTGGAAGGCAGAAGCTCAGGTCCAGACCTCCCCTCCCCTGCTTACCGGGCCACCCAGGCATTGGTGTTGATGTTGAAAGAGGCGATGGTGCCGGTGAAACGGGGGGTTGTTTCAAAGAGCCACACCTTCATGTTAGCGCAGGCATCCCACTTTGCCTTTCCATTTTCATCAAAGTCATTGAAGCCCAGCCCCGTCAAAATGCATACTCCTTCCTGAGGGAAGGACCAACTCAGGGTTCTTGCCACTCTCCCCACGTCCCCCACAGCCTGTCTATGCCCTATTTCATCTTTTCTACTTACTGTGACCAGCCAACAGGTGACGTATTTGTACAGCACAAACTTGCCCCAGACCAGCATGTACATGCAGCGGAACCAGAAAACGCGGTTCTTGAGAGAAGAATGAACATGTGCATTAGGCTGGGCAAATTTCCCTTCTTTTCCACTCTTGTGACTACTTCATGTCCATCTGACAGTCTGCCTCTACAGTTGGCTAAGAGGATGAGCAGGGAGCCCAGCGAATATCCATTCACCTCCTTTCCCTTGGAGAGTTGCAGTAACAGCATTGTCTTTAACTCTTCTTCTGAGGCACTTGGGACGCTGAGTGCCAAAGGACTTTTATGAACTCATGCTCAATGTTAACTTAAGGAGTCAACCGACCTAGAGTGGGTAGGGAACGGTTGCAAACCTTTCAGGGCAGGAGCAAAAGCCAGCACTTCCCCCTCCCTTGGATTTTGAATTCCCTAGAAGCCCCCAATCTATCAAGAGAAGAAACAAGCTGGAGGACCACAAGCTGCTATGCTGGGCTGTAATATAGCAAGCTAAGAGTTGCTCCTGGGGAAGGTAAGGGGTGCCAAAAGTGCACTTGGCACAGCCCTGTGCCCGCGAAGGTTGTTCAATGCTGGCTGATGACCATGTCCCGGCCTGGCTGGCATTGACACCAACTCTCACAGATCTAGAGCAAAACCAACATGCATTTGTCGATGGTGTTTTCCACTTGGCTATCTACAGGGATTCTTGCCTGCCCATCTATCTCGGATGCAGTCATACTGATGTTGCTTTAGTAGCCACTCACTTCATAGTCCTCGGTGAGGAGATAGGTTTCTGTGATGTGGGGACTGAGGAAAACGTAGCCCACCAGGTAGACGAGGCCCAGGCTCAGGCGCTTGAGAGCAGGTATGGTGCTGAAAGGAAAGGTGGGGGTCACAGTGCGCAGGGGCCACTCCTTCCGCCGTTAAGTCACAGAGGGGAGCTAGCCCAGCTGGGATGGGATGAGTAGCTCCACTGCCCAATATTTTTAAGTACATTAAAATCAACTTTTTAAAATGAGAAAGCGAATTTTAGAGGTGGGGACATGACTGGTTCAGGCAAAATCCTGCTTCATAAAAGTTAAGTTTATGTTTGTGCCACAGGGTCAGAATGGCTGGCTAAAAAGGGCCCACGCCTGTAGTGAGCAGGAACAGAATGCCCGTTATCCCAGTCCAGGGCCTGTGTGGCCGGAGCCCAGGGAGCCAGGGCCATGTGGAGAATGCAGCTAGGGCTGGTCCGCAGGAAAGTCACTTCAGAAGTGGCTTGATAGTGGGTGAGACACTCTACAGAGGTCTTGACCAAGAGGGGCATTTACCTGCTTGGTATCTCCCCTGGCTTGTCAGTCAGCTTTCTGTGCACCAGCTTCATGTAGTGGTTCATTGAGAATTGGGGGCCTACCAAGAAGGCTCCATAGAAGTAGGAGAAACCAGCAACTTCCAGCAGGGAAGGGATACCTCGTATGGCATATTTCTGTTGCTCAGGGGACAAGGAATTCTATGCCGAGAAGAGAAGGAATGGTTCAGGATGGCCTTGAATCTACCTGCAAGAGCCGGTTTGTGTGTTCCCCACCCTTTTGGCCCACTGAACTGGTTCTTCAAACAGCCATCTCTGAGGGGATGATATGGAGAAAAGTAGTTGCTTCCTGTGGAAGCGAGTGTGTGAAGCAACAGCTGACTGCTGCTGATTTCCAAATGCCCCGCTGGCATTGATCTCTGGACTTTGTGCAAGAGCTGGATCCACGCAAATTAGGTTTGTTGATCCTTGCTCAGTGCTATCTAAAACAGAGATCACACAGGCTGGGGATGAGGTGGGGCAGAGCATTTGGGTTCAGTCTTTTGGTAAGAATAGCCTTTCTCCATCCCTCTGGTTTACTTCCTTAATCTCTCTGTGCAGAAGTTGTGCTTACCTTATCTTTCCCTCCATCAAAGTAGTCAACAGCCAAACCTGAGCAGAGAGAGAAGGTGTGGGTAAACTTACTGTGTTCGCCCCCACACTCCCCACTACCCTCAGTCTACAGGTCAGGTGTGACCTATGGACTGAGGGTAGTGGGGAATGTGGGGGCGAACACAGTAAGTTTATGGTCAGATGGGGAGGAGCCTAGATGTAAAGGGGAGAGTAGTAATCCGTCACTTACCAATCAGTTTCAAGGTCAGAACACAATGAGGCATTGTCCACTTGATATCATAGTTGCCAGTGGCTGTCCAATAATATCCGGCAAGAAGGTAGGCCTAGGAGAGGGGAAGTATTTATTCTATTATTGCTATGATTTATTTTCTCTCTACTCTGAAATCCACTGTATTTCATTTTTTCTTTCTCTTGGATTCTTCAAGGCCTAAGAAGTTCCTATAAATGGAGACACTGAAACTCTAAAGGGAAAGAGACTTGCTTCAAGGTTTCTCAGCAAAATTGAGGCGAATTGAGAATTTAGATGCTTAGGTTCTGTAGCTTATTCTAAGTTGATTTTCTGCCTTGCCTTTACGTGACCCCTCGTGATAGCTGGGCCAATCCTGGTCAGAACCTTAATCACAGTCCTATGCAAAGGATTAGCTTCACCTCTTCCTTGAGGCAGGAAAAGTATTACCACTGCCACCTGCAGATGAAACAGCTGGGGCTTGTGTAAAGTGACTTACATAAAGTCATAGTGGTAAGTGTTATTGGGAGAAAACAATCAGAAATTGGATTGTTTTCCAGTTCACTGGTTTTTCTACACCACAGTCTCTTGACTTCTCCCCAATCCTCAGCTGTGACCTGAGCTGCCAAGGGAAAGATGCTTACCATCTGGAAACAAAAGGTAGTGAGAACAGCAGTTACAGTGCGGCCCATTAGTCGCAGAATGAGGAACTGAAGGATGACACATAGCAGGGAGTGGTACATCTGGTTTCCTAGTGCAGAAGAGAGCAAATTTTTAACGCATGCGCACACATGTGTGTTTGATTCCTACCCATCCTGAGACTTCAAACACAAAGTGATACATAAAGAAAAAACTATTTTGGTATTAGGATATTTTTGTCAAAATTACTTCATGTTCTGGAGGGACTATAAATAGAAGGGACTGTCAGGCAGCTACTGTATTTCTGAATGTTTGAACTTCAGGTTGCTCCTGAGGGGACTGCTTGTCATCTAGTTATAAGCATAGCAGAGAAGCGTTGGCCTCTCTGTTGATGGGGTCTGGCAAGGGTAACCATTCTCAAATGTTTTATCTGGGAGAGGGCTGTCCATATTAGGAGAACTTAAGCTATTTTCTTGTCCATACAAATCCTTTCTTGGCAAGCACAGGATTATAACTTCCCTATCCATCAAATTCTCTCCAGGAGAGAATCTGTTCCTTCCCAGATTCTCTCTAATTGCAACCCCACTGTTAGCCCAGTTTACTCACCAAAGTTAAAATAAGCAATGGAGAGGCCTGTAAAGGTGTGGAAGAGATGGATGAGGTAGCTGTCCTTGTAGAAAAGGTAATGCCGATAAAACAAAGCCAAGGGGTAACCTGAGGGGAGATCAGAAGAGGGTTATTTGTGGCTGGTGCTCTTCCATTTTGTTTTGGAGGTTTATCTGGCATGAAACTCAGCCCAGAGAGGAAAAAACACACATTATGTGGATGTCAACAGAGAAGATAACAATATCCCTAAGCATCAAAAGTGTTTTTGTGAATAAACATTTAAAACTCAAGATAGTTTTATATAGAAGCAATATAAAACCAGATCTTAAGGCTAGGTTTCTCATATAGACTATTAAGTAGTGCTAGGAATTTTCTTTTGCATTTTACTTCAGTGTTACAAGGAATTGAGGGTATCCAACTGTGCTCTGCCCATAAACATTATTTTATGCCTTTATGATCTATTACTAGAGGCCCGGTAAACTATTTCATGCCCGGGTGGGGTCTGGTGGGCCTGCCCCATGAAGGGTTGGGGCCTCGGGCTGTTGGCCACCCACTCTCTGATTGAACTCCCTTCCAAGGGGACAATTTGCATATTTGCCTTTTATTATATAGGATAAATTTAAAAAAATATATATATTTTATTGATATTTTACAGAGAGGAGGAAGGGAGAGAGATAGAGAGCTATTATAGAAATGTCGATGAGAGAAACATCGACCAGCTGCCTCTCGCACCCCCCCCACCGGGGATGTGCCCGCAACCAATGTACATGCCCCTGACCGGAATCGAACCTGGGACCTTTCAGTCCGCAGACCGACGCTCTACCACTGAGCCAAACCAGTTTTGGCGATATATTGGATAATCTAGTAGTGTATTATCAGCAAATTATCAAGAGGATAAATATAAACCAACACGAGGAAATAAACTGAGATTGCTGACTGCATCGCAGCTGAATAACAGTCACGGGACATGTGTGGATGTGCCTCACACGCTGAGTTGGAAGTCCATTAAGCATCATGGGAAATGTCTGCTAAAGCAGTGATTCAGAGCATGGTCCTGGGGCCACAGTTGAACTGTAGTGGATTTCCTGATGGGCCATGAACTGATTATGCATGGCCAAAGGTTGCTTACTGAATAAAAAAGGGTCAACATAACATTCGGTATTCCTAACTAAAATTAGCACGTTCCATGCTGTTACTACACACTTTCATTTAGTGTTCTATGAAGAGGTCGCTGATGAGGTTGGCAGTGCACAGGTGAAGAACTGGAATTCCTACTGTGTCTTAGAAGGACACTTTACCTATCCTATCATTGCATAGTGTTAGCTTATCATTGGCAGTATTGTGAGTTTGGATAACTCTGCAATGCTAAGAAGTGTCAAATACGAAGAAACTACTCAATTCTTTATTAAGTCAGTAAATGGATAATCCGTTTGTATATTTGGCTTATGTCCTAGTCTTTCCCTGTATATATTTTTTTAAACTTATGATCATATCCTGTGTACTTATGTAATCAAGTTTTTAACAGTGTATCTGCCATTTAATCTTCCTGGTCCCAGGATTTGCTCTTGTTTTTTTCCTCTTTTATTTATTAAAAAAACTTTTTTCCCCCCTCTTGTTTTTTTTTTTTTTTTGACTGCTGTTATAATGGGCTAGACACTTCAATTTATTAGCTTCATGCAAATAGCTAACTTTATAGATACCCTGTGGATTACTGGCTCATTCAACAAATGTTTATTAAATATCTACTACATGCCAGGTATTCTGTTTGTAGATCACATAATGAGGGACAAGGTGGCATGCAATGGTTTATTTTCTAGCTAGCCAAGGTGAAGTGATATAGGATTACTAGCTCAAGGGAGAGGGAGACAGCTCTGACCCCTTCGTAGTCAGATGAATGAGCAAAGAAATAGCATCAAGTTTCATACATATCACATATCAAATTTGGCAGGAACAGAACACCACGTTATTAGCAAGTATTGCTAAGAACCAGAGCCAGGTACTAGAAAGTATATACAGATTAAGATCAGACTGCCTTAAATCTTTGACTTTCTAACATTGTAGAAAATGGGGTATAAATGAATAGAAACAATAAATAGGGTATATCTTAATTATTTAGAGTACTCATAAATAAATCCTGTATAGCTAAGAGTTTACCCCTTTCAGCAGTAAAACTCTTAATTACTTGGAATCACCAAAACCCTGAACCATTCGGAATGTTTAAAATTAAAAAATGCAACACATATCACTCTGCCCCCTTGAAGTGATATAATTAAACTGGTGATCTGGTTCATAATTACTCTAAAGTCATGATCACTTTACAACCTGCTGAGGTATGTAAAATTGTGGCTCCGATTCTGTTAGGGCCTACACTGTCCTGCATTCCGAGTTCTGGTATCCATTTCTTAGGGCTTTTCTGCCCCTTTCCTTCCTATTCAGGGATTTAGTGTGACTGCCAAGAATAGCTGTTTTCCCTACTTTTAATTTTCTGCAGGTCTTAGAAATCGTATGTTTTAAAGGCGTAAAAAAAGAAACATAAGAGCAAAGGTCTTGGATGTTTTTCTTAAAGACTTAGTGCTCAGCCTGGTAACATTGGTTCTGGCCACTCAAGGCCCTTTGTTTAGGTGTATTTTGAAGAAGTGGAGGTTGTTGAGTTCAACACAGGCAGGTGAAGTATTATTGTACACTACTAAACTTATGATAAGATGATACAATTGGCAGAATAATCAAAAGAATGCAGCTGGCCATTAAGGTTACCAAAAACATTAAGATCATAACAGAGAACAGCAAAGCCTGGATTGAGGCCGCAGAGGGGAGAAAGAACTGTGCTGGGAGAGTTGCTGTGACAACCAGGGCTGATTTTGAGAGCACCAAACCTTGCTCTTGGCTGCTGCTCAGCTCAGCAGCTTTGTAACCTGGCTGCCCAGTCACCCCTTTAGGGATGTGCTGAGGTTTTTTGGAGGATGTTGTCCTACAAGGTGTTTCTGAGTCTTAATGCTTTCTTGTGGGAGCCAATTTTTAGTACAGTAGCCACAGTCACCTGATAAATATTCACAGAACAATGTAAGTACCTCCTCACCATCCGTCATAGAGTCTGCTTCAGTAGGTCTGAGTGATCTGGTGTGCAGCCAGGGTGAAGAAGCACTGTCTTACTAAAATCCTAGAGCCAGGCAGCAGTACTTACTAGATCCTGAGAATAAAAGTCTGAGCTTGATGACTGAGAATTGCTCTTTCCTTTAATACCACTGTCCAGGCAGAGGTTAGTTTTGTAAGTCTGATTGAGAGGTTTTAAAGAAGTTGATTCTCTCTCCTTGATGTTTCTAATTCTCTATCCCTCCCTCTCTCTTCCTCTCTGTAAAATATCAATAAAATGTATAAAAAAAAAAGAAAAAAAAGAAAAAAAAAAGAAAGGCCTTCAGAAGTCATTAGCAAATGTAGGATGATGACCTAACCTACTCCCAAACCCAATGATCCCATACTAGAATGGGAGCATTTCAAGAACACCTAGGGCGTTTACAGTGCTAGAGCAGACTGCTGGCACACACGGAACCTAGCTCTGTTCAGGGGTTCAGGCTGTCCCGCACACAGAGCGTATTTAGCCGTGTTCTCCAGTCAGTCACTGGACATCCCCTCATGAGTGCTGTTGGAATCAGGGAGTAGGATCTGTCACAACCTAGTCAGTAGTGGAACTCCTTATTCTCTGCACAATTGATGTGAAATTATTAATTTGAAGAAATAGAAATGAGCTGTTTTAAAGTCTCGTAAAGTTCTTTTTCTTTTCATCCTGTGCTATTTCTGCGTTCTGTAGAAATAGGATATGAACTCATTTGATTAGTCAATGATTAGACTCTGGTGAAAAGAAAGTAGAGCATGTTTTGGCAAGTGTCAGGGAGAATACAGAATTAGGACTGCTAAATGCTGGCTTAACCAGATACTGGTACCAGTTTTATAGAAAATGAAAATACTTCAAATTCCGTACAAAGAATTGATATAAGCTAAGAAAAAATTAAAAACTTTTAATTAACCCTTTAAAAAAACATATTAATAAGGAATTGAATATGTGACCTCCTGGTACATTGGACAACACTCAACCAATGAGGCACTCTGGCCAGAGCTAAATATCATACCTTCAATGAAAACAAATACATTTCCCCAAAACAAAATCATTGAATGCAGAGAATGGCATCGTACAAATTTCTGGCCTTTCTCTAAATAGAAGATAGCTGCCTTTTCAAACGCGCTTCTATATTTAATCTGTTGTTTTGGTTAAAACTATATGAAGAAAATCTTTATACAGATATATAGTTGGAAGGCAAATCAATAGCTTTTCCAGATAAATTTGGATATTCTTTGATATTATACCTAAACTTGACAAATTGTGGAATGTGCAGCAACCATATCAATAAGCTTTTCATATTCTGTTTATGTTAAAATCCAATGGTCTCTCCAGTGTGCTTTGAATGGATTTTTTACCCAGGCATGGTATTTGTAATATCATGCACTGGTCATCTGGAAAACAATGGTTAACTGTATTAGGCAGATCTTCCAAATATTGACAATATGTCATTAAAATACAGTATAAAAAAATCACATCTTTTAATATCACCATTGATCTTCAACATAAGAATCTATATATATTGAGAAGTTGTCAAGCTCATGATATCAGATACAAAAAAGTTTTCCAAAATTCTAAAAATTTTCAACTGAAAGCTTGAGTTTTATTATTCATGACAAATAGTGTCTTATTTTCCTTTAAGTGACAGGTTCATGTGTTCAAAAAAAAAAAAATCTGCCAAATGCCCATGCCTAAATAATCCATGTCTAAGTCTGTCATTCTTACCCCGCCCCCAAGTAAAAATGCCATTCTATGAAAAAAAAATGTTAATTGAACCTGCAACTCAAGCAACTGCACAAGTACTCTGCCTCTGGACAGCCTTGTACTTCAGTATGCAGAAGTGCATCAGGCACTTTTCTCATTTCTTCAGACTATTAAGAAGGGTTGAGATTTAATACAATTCATGATCCTTACTGCTTCATCCAGGCCCTTCTTACGTGAAACTGGCTTTAAAATTTTATTTATTTTTTTTTTTATTTTTTTTTTGTGAGTGTAT